GCTCTGTGTGTGGGTGGGTGTACGTATGTAGCGTATTTTCCGGGGTGTTAGCTGCACGGGGTGTAAGCCTCACCCCCCCCCCCCCCCTTTCGGGCCCAAAATTCGTATAATATTTGTAGTTAGCAAAGAACTACGACTTAAATTTTCAGAAAAAGGACACACCTCTCAGGCTCTTTGCAAACATATTGATACCCTCTCAACTGTGAACACGTCCACCTTCAGGATACTGTTGTTCAGTCACAACTGTACGAAAATCAAGTTGTGATTTCTGTCATCAGAACACATCCATACTGATGACAGCTATTTTTGATCCCCTGGGGACGTCTCGTTATTGCGAAACAAATACCATTGGTCCCTTGGTGTTTGTCCTCAAGAGGTTTGACTGTAATGTGTTGCTTGCGTTCTTTTCACTGTGTTATCACTTTGACCAGTCCTGGCGCCGAGTCACTGGAGCTTTACAAGAAGTTGTCCTGTTTCGTAATGGCTAACAGCTTCACGGACACGCGCTCATCATCAGTCCAGACTGTCATGGTCCCCATGGCTGATGTTCTCAATCACCATTATAATCACAATGCGGAGCTGGAGGTCAGGGACGGGCAATTTGAGATGTGCGCCATTCGCCCTATTCACAAGGCAAGCTAATTAATCAATGGACGTGCCAATGCTCTCATTCTCTTCAGTGCTTGTGGAAATTAGAAATGTTGATTGGAAAGAGCCTGAAACTTGTGTTTCTCATTGGTTGCATTAGATGTGGATGCAATGAAGATTTTGCTGCCATTTCTATTTGGCCGTGTGTTGTAACCAATGATTGTGAACAGGGAGAGGAAGTGTACAACACCTATGGCCCGACTGGCCTGCATGACTCTGACTTGCTGCGACTCTACGGCTTCACCATAGGTCCACCGCTTGACTGCAAGCCATGCGCTGTAAGTGTTGTGTTGAATCAGTCATCACCAACCTAGTCGACTTGTGTGTGTGTTGTGTGTGTGTGTGTGTGTGTGTGTGTGTGTGTGTGTGTGTGTGTGTGTGTGTGTGTGTGTGTGTGTGTGTGTGTGTGTGTGTGTGTGTGTGTGTGTGTGTGTGTGTGTGTGTGTTAGTGCATGTGTTTGTCTGTGTCTATTAGGGCTGAAAGGATCGAAATATGCAGGGCGGAAAAAGAATATTCTTCGTTAAAGTAGAATAGGAATATTCGTAAATGTGCAGAAACTCGCCTTTTTGACATCGATCAAGCTTATTTGGTGCAAAATATAAGTAGGCTTGCCTCTTTCGATGTGTTGTAATCAGCAAGACAAATGATTTTTCAAATGTCTCTCTTGTAATGGGGGGTGTATGCCAGTTAATGGTCTATGGTTACCATGGATAAAACTAGGTATCCATGGAAATTATATGGTTTAGAATATTCGGAATATTCTTCGTTTCGCATGTATTCGGAAAAAGAATATTCGTTCGCTTCATTGAGCATTCGTTTCAGCCCCTAGTGTCTATCTGCCGGTCCGTCCGTCTGTCTGTTTGCCCGGATCTTTACTTTTGTGCATGCATAATGTACATATTCGTTTTTTTTGTTGTTGGATACTAACAATCTACTGCCGTGTACAGATGGTGCTTTTTGACCTGCACATGTCTGTGGCTGGATGTATTACTCTAGTGCACAACAATCAGTGTGTGACTTGTACATGCTACATGATTGTAGTCGCAGCACGGCATGCACTCGCTTTAGTACACAGACACTCATCGATCAGCTTGCGCTTGCCATGCTTCTGCTCAGCTGATCGATCCTTTTGTATTTCCGTACCATTTTTGCTCAAATTCCGTAGTGCGGACGAAGGAGTGATTTCCCGTACGATTGGGGAAAAATGTGTAATGTTGGCGCAGCACTGGAAGTACAAAGACATGCGGCGCTTGGACCTACTCTAGTTACAAGATAGCCGCCCATTCGTTTCGCATGTCCTCTGCTCAGATATTGTATATCCTGATTTCTACGGGTGTCTGCTTCAAGCATTATTATTATTATTATTATATTATTATACGCACGTCCGCGTTTACCTCAACAGTAAGTCCACGTATTCGCATGTGCCAGAAGACAGGCAGAGTGGGCAGAGAGGAAAACAAAAAATAAAAGTAAAAAATAAAAGTAAGACAGCAGGCGATAGGCACATAACTCATGTTCGATGATACGTGCTCAATGCACGGGATCTATTCGAAAGGTCAAAAAATAAAACATAAAAAATATAAAGTTTAACGGCTATGAAATGATAATTATTATTATTTCCTATTGACTCTGAAAAAAATTAATGCAGCTCTGCCTTTTTTCACTTGTGTGCGTTTCTCCCTAATGCTAGGCCTATCTACCTGTCCGGCTGTGTAAAGAGTATTTCTCACAGAACAGGTGTATCTCAAGGGAAATGCTCTCGAAGTGCTGGAACTTCCTCTGTGACGGGGTATGTTGTGTCTATGTACATGCAGATGTGTTACATAATACACAGCACATGTATGCGTGTGCTTGACCGTGTGCTGTAAGGTACATGATGGCATCATAATCATAGGCATGTAATTGTACTTGTAGTCTAGTACGTGCAGTCAAACTCCATCATTACGCCGCTACCGTAGAGGGCCGTTTATCTACACGGTTCAGGGCGCAGTGACGTCTCCAGGGGCTCCGATGAGGAGTATAGAACAATCCCTCATGTTTTCACCATTTCGAATTCTCCTTGGCAGTGCCACAGGAATAAGACACAGTCATACTGTGCCCTTGTTGGTACCCTTGGGCATGTATTTTGACAACGCCTTGCTGTCATGCACCCTAAGCGTGCCAGTACTATAGAGGACTTTCCATTACATCACCTTTTTGGCGCCTTCCCGGTGTCCACCCAAAGATCACCCATAAGACAAGTCCGTGTCCTACGGTAAAGTGTGCTTGGGTGGCAAAAAGAGAATCAAAATTTGTTGTTCGGTGTACGGTTGAAAATGATGTTGCAGGCCGTCGCAGTGGTGAAGCACTTTTGCTTTTCTTTGATGTGGTGAATAGTTTCGGTAAGTCGCGAGGATTACTAGCCGCAGTTACTCTACTGTTTATTCCAGCCTTGAAGAGGCGTTGCCGCGAGAAGATTGACAGAATCCGTGGGCCCAGTACATTGATCCATATTTACCTATGGATGAAGACCTTTCAGCCAATCCCCCTGCGTAGGGTATCCAGGCCTCTCTAAATATTTAGTGAATGTCCCCAGCACATATGCAAAGGACTCTCTAAAGTCTTACAATAGCCCTGATGGATACAAATGTATGTGTCTCATTGCTGACTGGGTTGGCACATTATCGTGTCTTGCCCAATCGAAGGAAGAAACAACAACTGTCAACAAAATTCGTTTGCAAACGTCAGGCACTCGCAGAGTGTTTTTGCCGAACCTGTCCATCCTTGGGTAGCTGCTGAATTACCTGGAATTGTTTTTTGGCGCACACTGCACTTGCATGGTGGGCCTGGGAGAAGCATGCTCCCATGTTGCTGCAGTGCAGTGTTGTTTTGACTGAATTTACGTTGGAGACTGAAATGTGATGTGTGCTGAATGTCAACACCTACACCACTGGGTCACTCACCAGTGGCTGGCACCGTCAATGAACACTACACGAAAATAGTGTACATGGATTTTACTTCAGCTGGGCAGAAATTGGAGCACCGTGCCCATAACCTACAAGTAGTCTCACTTCTCTTTCGCTGCCTGACTCTCTCTCTCTGTCTCTCTTGCTTTGCATGCCTGTCAGTGTATCCATGTGTGTGTGTGTGCGTGTGTGTGCGTGCGTGTGTGGGTTTTTCTTCCTTATCAGTACGAGTATGACAATGTTGACATGCGGTGGCTGGTAGCACGAAAGCTGACAAAGTCAAACACGGCCATCATCATCATTGGTCCTATGTAGCCAAAAAGTTGGTGTTGTGGCGAACTTAGTTGTCCTGATCCTAAAACACGCTGATGAATGCACATCCAATACAGCAATTGTTTTTTCCTGGTCGTCCCTCGACCTGGCATTCTCCATAAGCAGTTGCTGATTACCGGTAGAGTGTCCTCCATTACTGCCTTTGCAAGAGTTACACAAGAAGTAAGATCAAGATGATCCTCACCACAAGAAGATCAAGAAGCTGAATACATGTACCTAATTGTCCAGAAAGACAGAAGATGAGGTATACTAGTATGTGCCGCAGCAGATGAAGAACTGCACAGCGCAGCAACCAAGTGGGAAGCAGAAGAAGATTGCGCAAGTAGGTCGATCGGAGTACCGGTATTATTTTATCCATGACAAAGGAAATACACATTGTGCAGAACATGAAGCATACACACTCGCATGGAAGAGATAATGCCGGAGTTGCACCCAGGGCCAGTACTAGACTATAGCTAGCACCACCAGTCATGTAGAGGCACGTGCATAATAGAGCTGGGTACATTAGTCATTACCATCAGCATCAGCACTATCAATCATCAAACTCCAGCTATACCTTGCACCCCAACAAACTAAGTAAGTTGATAGTGTTCGGAATCATCTTCGTGTTTCCGCCTTTACTGGTGCTGCCACAAATGAGCTGAACAAGTTAGTTAGTTAATTCGATACGTACTGGGGTGACAGGGATGATCATGACTTTTCTCTTCGCCAACGAAGTGATGGAACAATATTCGTGTACTTCGAAGTATTTGCATAAGGAGCGAAGTTCTCGAGTCGTGTGTCCGTCATCCACTGGTTCCGTCGTTCTCCATCGTAGGGAAAACGATAACAACTCAAAGACGATCCAGGTGTGGGAACATCCGATCGCGAGCAGCCCTTTGGTATTCTCAAACTACAGTATGCAAAATGGAACTTCTTTCGAAAAACACTGTTTCTTTCCAGTGCAGTCTTCTTTTTTTGCCACCCAAGCTCCGTTTCAAGTCCGGTGATCGGTGGTGAACTCGATGATCTTTGGCCCGAATCCTCATAGGCCGCACGGTATGACTCATTGGAAAGTCCTCTATAGTGTTGAGTGTGGGAGAGAACGACAACCAACTAAGTTTGGTCTCCTTCAATTTAGTGTGATCAGGCATGTGGGCTAGTTGATCGCTTGGGTAATTAAGCACAAGTAGGGTTATGGGATCACAGCATCACAACATAGTGCTGCTGCTGCTGCTGCTGCTGCTGTTCAACGGTAACTACTCAGTGAACTGCAGCAGCACAATGTGAGTTCTAGCTGTTGCCAATCCACACGCTGTTTGCTTTCAACACGATCAGCATTATGCCGTAGGAAGGCTTCTGTTTGTGTTCACATTCCAACAGGGCACATTATACATGTACAATACTTCATGATCTGTCTTCATTTTAAATACTGACCCTATACTACTGACCCTATACTACTGACCCTATACTTCTGACCCAGTACGGTCACCATGGTCATGTGTGCTGCTGAGTGCTAACTCACTGACAGGCTGTTGTGGCTATTCCGTTCCTGCTGCTGCTGCTGCTGCTGATGCTGATGCTGCTGCTGATGCTGGTACTGATGCTGCTGCTGCTGCTGCTGATGCTGATGCTGCTGCTACTGCTACTAATATTATTACTGCTGGTGCTGGTTTTGATGTGGCTTGTGTCATTGTCACCACACATGTCGCATTGCCCAGGGTGTGGATGATGAGAGTGAGACCGGCGGTCTTGGAATGATTACTTATAAAGACGGAAGTTGCCGCTTGGATGAAGCTCTTCAACTGACTATAAAGGTACCTGACGGACTAAACCGTAGTGACCATACCTGCGTATACACGTACTGAACATGACTGTCTAATCTCTTTGTGTTTCTATGCATTACATACAGCATGTAAAGAGGGCCTCAGGTTTGAAAGTTGCTGCAATGACTCCTCTTTCTTCTGTGGCCACACCGATATTGAAGAGTACAAGATGTGCCATATTTAAGAGACGTCCACTTTGTTCCTCATTGAACCTCTACCTCTTGTCTCAGTTCAGTATGGCAGCGGAATATGTTTGCAGGTGTCCGCCATATATATCACTGTGCAGCCCCCCCCCCCCCCCCCCTGCCTGATGATACCAGCTACTACTTGGAGTGGTATTGGTGCTATGCCAACTGAGTACGGCTGTTCTTTTTATGCCATTATAGGCGATGCACAGGACAAGCAAATCCATTGCACGTGCACTGGAACATTGCTATGGTATTTTACTTGTACACGAGAAAAGTGGACAATCGTGGCGGAAAGGTGCACGTGAGCTGAGGGGCCGCCGCAGGCATGATAATCATGGCGTGCACCAGTAGTTGAAGTACATGTACACTAACATGCGTGAAACAAGACTTGATTTTTTACACAGCTCTTTTCACCGTTCTACTGTTTGCGCATTCTGCAGAGTTTCCGGGCATGTCTTGCCTTGTTTTTCAGTGTTTGCCTTGCTGTAAATTACAAAGATGGGAAAGAATGTGTTCTCTAATCATCGGGAAAAGAAGTTCCTCGTTTTGAGAAATGCTCAAGTCAGCGGACAAGAATGTGATGTGGAGTCACAAGGAGATCGTCATTTTCCTTGCGCGTATTTGAGTTTCTGATGCGCTCTTTGAGCTTGGGATCTACGAGGTGGTTGTACAGTGCAATGTACTGTAAAAGCAGAACTTTTCAGTGGTGTTTTATTTTCGGTAACTTCGGTGCCGACAATTTTTACCGAAAATAAAACGCACCGAAAATTCGGTACTACCGGTGCTGTATACATGTAGTACAAGTACACTTACCTGGAAAACGGATTTTACCGAAAATTTCCCTCTACCGAACCGCCGATTTTGGAGAATACCGAAAATATTACACCACCGAAAATTTCTGCTTGTACAGTTCACCCGGTGATAGCATCAATAAGCATTTAGGAGATAGTGACACCGCTCTTTGCTGTCGTCTTACACTAATTTGAAACTTTGAAATACTCATGGCAACTGGTGGGTGAATCATTCAAAACATGCAAACGTGCCTGTCGTCGAGTGCAGGGGTGTAAATCCACGCAATTACCTTTCTCGTGAATCACTCACTGTCAAACGTGCAAGTGCGCGTCGTGTGAATCACCTATCAGTAATAATATTATACTACCTCCGGAAGGAACCATGAAGATGAGATTTAGCATGTGTTGTTGCTGCTGCTGCTGCTGCTGCTTGTGCTGCTGCCACTGCTGCTTCTGTTGCTACTGTTCTTGCTGCCGCTGCTGCTGCTGCTGACGCTACTGCTTCTGCTGCTGCTGCTGCCGCCGCCGCTGCTTCTGCTGCTGCTGTTTTTTGAATTCTTTATTCTCACGATGGCACCATCGCCAATAAGAGGTTGTTGTTGTTGTTGTTGTTATTGTTTCAGGTTTTAGTAAGTACTTGGAAAGATGAAAGTACATGTACGTACATCCCCTCCTCTACATGCATAATTATGTATTTGCCCTCCCCCATCCCCAGCCATGTGTCTGTGTATGACATTCTCTCTGTCTGTGTGTGTGTGTGTGTGAGTGTGTGTGTGTGTGTGTGTGTGTGGCTCTCTCTCTCTCTCTCTCTCTCTCTCTCTCTCTCTCTCTCTCTCTCTCTCTCTCTCTCTCTCTCTCTCTCTCTCTCTCTCTCTCTCTCTCTCTCTCTCTCTCTCTCTCTCTCTCTCTCTCTCTCTCTCTCTCTCTCTCTCTCTCTCTCTCTCTCTCTCTCTCTCTCTCTCTCTCTCTCTCTCTCTCTCTCTCTCTCTCTCCCCCCCCCCCCCTCTCTCTCTCTCTCTCTCTCTCTCTCTCTCTCTCTCTCTCTCTCTCTCTCTCTCTCTCTCTCTCTCTCTCTCTCTCTCCACTGTATATATGCATGAGTGCTGGTACAGCAGCGCAGCGTGTCACTGCTGAGACAAAGAATTTGCTTCAGCTGTTCACCTCGCTATTGATTCGAATGAAACCAAGTTTGGAGAAGAGTACCACTAGTAATATGACGTGTTTTTTCTGATACCCAAGGGATAATATCTGATTAGAACTCGACTGTATCGCCTGTATCCTCCTAAAGAGGTAATGAAAGTGCTTGTGGAAATTTAAAAAAAAAGTTGATTGGAAGAGACTGCAGCTTGTGTTATCCATTGCTCTCATTACATTTTGTCTGTTTTGCTTTGCAGTTGAAGTTGATGACAATGCCTTGAATGCACGCGAATCGAAAAAGATTCTGACTTGGTAGGTTCCCTGTGTGTGTGTGTGTGTGTGTGTCTGTGTCTGTGTCTGTGTCTGTGTCTGTGTGTGTGTGTGTGTTTTTTTTTCTTTTTTTCTACAAAATCCACATATCTCCAGACACTGGGGTGAATGATGGAGTATGGTGGTGGGGCCCATTAAGCTTCGCCGACCAGAGGTCTCGGCTTCATAGGGGGGGGGGGGGGGGATGTGTATGTGTCTGTGTCTGTGTCTGTCTGTGTATGTGTCTGTGTGCGTCTGTGTGAAATTTAATTGTCCAATTTCACTTCAAGATACCAGTGCATAGTGTCTGCTTCTAACAAAGCAGCATGCTGTCTATACTCTTTACCCCCAGCAAGTGTAGAGCGTGCATAGGTAACTGTCTTGTCTGTTCTATTCCGATGTACACTGTCGTGGTGCTCTAACATACCATGACACTGGTGAGAAAGAAACTTCTAAATCTAAGGGTTCTCCAATCCTTGAGTCAAGGAATTCAGAACTCTTCTTTCTCATCAGTGCCTATGACACGATTTATTTGAGCCTGGGAGTACAAGTCATATATGTGTGTGTGTGTGTGTGTGTGTGTGTGTGTGTGTGTGTGTGTGTGTGTGTGTGTGTGTGTGTGTGTGTGTGTGTGTGTGTGTGTGTGTGTGTGTGTGTGTGTGTGGGTGGGTGGGTGGGTGTGTATAGGGCGTGCTCTGAGCAACTCAAGAGCTACGCCTGGTCGTACACGGAGTGTGAGGAGCAACTCAAAGCTGCCAACTCAGCATCACGCGGTAGCATTGACCGGCGTCGTTTGTCTGCAGTGCGAGCATGCTGGGAACAGATGTTTGTACTGCGTCACCTCCAGAAAGCAAAGCACATCAGATGCCAATGAAGATCAGGAATGGCCTATACAAGTACCACGGCGCAATGCCTATCCCCATCTCTGATGCCTACAGCAACGACATACAGAAGCAGGTGCTAACACCCACTCTATGCGGATAGGAATTTAGGGTGTCCAGCTAACCATTATCGTGCCAAACAATCTTGCCAAGGCATGGTCAATCCAGCGCAGTCAAGTTGATACGTGCCTCGGCAGGTGTCAGGCAGCTACATATCCAGGCCTGAAGTGAAGGTGTTGTGCATGGTGTGCATGTCAATATCTAGTGCTACCATGCACCGCAATCAACAAGAGACTGACTGGGTGGTTGTAAACATGTGCAGCCGAGACTAAGCTGGTGAGTCCCTGAGTAGTGTGAACAGATGGTTCACAAGGCCATGTTTTGTTGCGTACGGGGCCCAGCCACCTTGCGGAAAGTCATACTCTAGCATGTGTGACTTAGCAGCTCTGCTGCTAGAGGATCAAGTGATCACTCTTCTGCAGGGAATCGCTTTGCGGAGAGCTTGTCGGCACCTCGCTACTTGTCCTCATCCAGCATGGGGTTTCAGCGCCCTGTAAGCGAGGGGAGCCCTTGAAGTGCTCCATTATGAGCATTCTTGTTTGGTATCAGTTCTTCTGCAGTGAGAGTATAATATCAACATACATTTTGCTGCCAATGATGCTGCTATATTATTACCGGTTCTCATTTACGGTACTTAAAAAAAAATTCTGCAACTTGATCTACACAGGGTGGTGGTGTTCCTACGGATGCGGAAACCCGGCCTCCAGCCGAGTCTATGCGAACCGTGATTTTATTTTTTCTTGTTTGCAGTTTGAACGTAATTTGGTAATCGCAGGTCTGCTCTGCTCCACTTCTATTCCAGTCATATTTCCTTGGAAATGCCTCTGCAGACAGTAATTATTGTTCTCATTCTTTTGTGTCACCTTGCATTATAACTTACTTTGGTAGAACAGTGAAAGCCCCCTAATCCGGGCAGTTTGGGACCGAGCACTGTCCGTACCTTGGGCCCGGAATTGCCCGGACTTCAGAACATACATGTACACGCACGTACGTACTTACGTACATGCGTGTACATGTATGCGAGTAAACACTTGTAATGCCAATTAATACCGGTAGTTTTGGCGGCCGTTTTTCGTTGGAAATCCAATTTTGATGACCAGATGGGTCAGAAAGTAAGGTGCCCGGATTAGGGAAGGGCGAGCTCTACGCATAGAATGTGTGCCCGGTCCTTGGTGACAGGCAAGTCAGAGCTCCGTCAGTACCATGGGTACCAGTGAAATAGCATTGGACTACCCTGTCCCTCCAGGAAATCGCGATTCCACGGATGCAACAAATTTCGCGATTTTTGCCCAAACCCGCGATTTTCAGCAGAATCCGCGATTTTCCGCGTTTTTTGTTGTTTTCTGCACTATATCTCACTTTTTTATGCACTTTTCACGCAGTGCTTTCCATGATCCTGTAGGTTATTTGCATAGTACGACTCGGACTACTCCCGAGTAGATACGATGCAACAAATTTCGTGATTTGGCCCAAATCCGCAATTTTCTGTGAATAATTCCGCGAATTCCTGGCAAGTTCTGCATCATTCCGCACTTTTCGTCGCTTTTTTGTTGTTTTCTGCCGCACTTTCTTGCGCAAGTTTTCGAGAGTTTTTCCGGAAATTCCCGCAGCTCGCAGGGACAGACTACCGGAAGACCTTGAAGACCTACTGTAGTACTGAGCAGGGAGTAGTACAAGAAGTATTGTATTGTACTACTCCCTGGTACTGAGTCAGACACTGAGTGGGTCTACTGAGCTCGCTACTCAAACTAAGTCAAACTCAGAGTAGATCTACTGCACTGACTACTTACTCGTCAAGACTGCACACTTGGGTTCCCGTTATCATGATCAGGACTGACTGAAGACTTGTAAAAGTTGTAGTGTAGAGAGTACTAGATTGTAGTCTACCACATCAGCTGAGCTCTTCTGCTGTTCTGGTCGAACAGGTCATGGAGGAAGTCAAGGTGACGATTTGTTTTAGATTCGCTCCCTGGATCACGATGAGCGTGCTGCCATCTAGTCGCTGCTCTGCGGTGGTCATCCGCTGGGCTGATAAGGAGTAGGTCTACACTCGTCTCGGTTGCTTTTGCGTGAGTGTGTGTGTGTGTATGTGTCACTGTTTGTGGTGTACGCGTGTGTGTGTGTGTGTGTGTGTGTGTGTGTGTGTGTGTCGAGGAAGACGCGTAGTGAGCTTGAGCCTTGACCTTTCCAATGCAATTCCTGGCAACCATGGCGCCCCTGATGTACACAGAAAGAGCGTTGACGAGTTGCCTTCGGTGGATCACCCACAGTGTACGGCAGTAGCCTAGAGCTCCGTGGACCGTATAAGTAACTTTAGTTCTACAACTCCCTGTTGGTGTTCGCATGAAGTAGGAGAGGGGAGAGTGTCTTGAAACCTTCCTTCGCTCTTCCAGGTGCAAGTGCAGCATTCCATCCAGACATCCAAGATGGTCAATTCGCTACTACCCGCTTTGGCTGTCTTCGCTCTTCTTCTGATCAGCGGACCGTTACAAAGCACGTAAGAGTCCACTTATGGCCGGCCACCCCATGCATTTAAAGCTGTGTGTTTGTGTTTGCGTGTGTGTCGTTCCGTTTCCGAATAAGTGTAGGGCATTGAGTGTTACCGTTCGTTAGACTAGATGTTGACAGTTTGTCCGGCCGTCAGACACGTATCATATATTATTATATATTTCAGAACTAAGTTTTATAGAAATGATGTTTGATAAAGGACTGCGCGCGCTGTGCACGACTGCTCGATAATCTTCTTTTTGTTGAGAAAAAAAGCTCAGTGCTAAGGTGGAACTAGTATTATTAGACAACTAAACCCTGGTTTAAGCGACCACCCCACGGTGCAAGCAAAAGCGGTCGTTAAAGCCAGGTGGTCTTTAGAACCAGGTCCCATACATTCGTGGCATATCAGATTATGCATACATGTGCATGATTGTACTTCCATTGTACTCATATTGACAGGTGTGGAGCATAGAATACTCTCATGCAGGCAAACGAGACCCCCTCGACTTAGGCCTCGGCCTTTGGGGAATCAATAAAAGATTATAAAGAATAAAAAGCACACCTCACTGGAGTGCATGCAGCGCATTCTGCACTGTGACTTCAGTTGACTGCATCCACTTGCTTCAGAGCGCACTTCAACCCTGTTGCAGTCAACTCTGCCAGCCAAGATGGCACTTTTGGTTAGTTTTGGTTGCTGTGTGCAGGTCCAATAATAATTAATATGGCACTTGGTACACAAAAAGTCGGTCGCTGGTCGCGCAAGGCAGGTGGTCGCTGTATCCGGTGCAGTTTCTGTATAGAACTGTCCGTGCATGGAAAACGGTCGTTAAGAGCAGGTGGTCGCTAAAGACAGAGGTCGCTTACACCAGGTTTTACTGTACTGTGAAGAGAGCATTAGGAGAAATTGAAGAAGTATTATGTGCATGGCTGAACGACTCGGTTTCAGCTCTACACAGGTGAACGTTTCAGTTGTGAAATTTTGCCTGATGCTGTAGGTAACTTTCCAAGCTTGGGAAATATGGAAATCACTTGAGTTGGGTTTGCAGCATGCTGTGGGTGCAGTCGTGGTGGTTGTGGTGGTGAAATGGGGAGGATGGGAGGGTCTGGAGAATCAATCACATGTGTCTGATATATGCTTTAAGTGTATGAGAGAGAGAGAGAGACAGAGACAGAGACAGAGACAGAGACAGAGACAGAGACAGAGACAGAGACAGAGACAGAGACAGAGACAGAGACAGAGACAGAGACAGAGACAGAGACAGAGACAGAGACAGAGACAGAGACAGAGACAGAGACAGAGACAGAGACAGAGAGAGAGAGAGAGAGAGAGAGAGAGAGAGAGAGAGAGAGAGAGAGAGAGAGAGAGAGAGAGAGAGAGAGAGAGAGAGAGAGAGAGAGAGAGAGAGAGAGAGAGAGAGAGAGAGAGAGAGAGAGAGAGAGATGCATGTAGTCTGTGGAATTGCCACTGGGCGCTGAGGCAAGCTGGGCAGGATTTCATAGCTTTTTCAGGTGCTTCTTTCCAGCCTTCCAAGTTCTAATGTCACAGGTGTTACAGGGCCCTGTCTCTTCCTACAGTATACTTGAACATGACATGACATCAGATGTTTCAGGTGCATGGTGTGTCACTGCAGGAGTCAGGTGCATGATGTGCCACTGCAGGAGTCTGGTGCACGGTGTGTCACTGCAGGAGTGCAGGAGTCTGTTCAGTGTAGTTAGCAGACAGTAATGATAGTGCAGTTTTTTTGTTTGTGTGCAGTAGTTTGTGCAATGGCAATCGATAGTGACAGTGCAATTTGCTTACGCATTGTAGTTTGCTTTGTGCAGTTAGTAACTAGGACAGTAGGAGGCAGAGCAGTAAGGTCTTATCTGCACCCGTTCCATGGGGTGAGCATGAATATCATGTTTCTGTGTACAGTTCATTCTCTAGCTGTAGCAATGTGAATACGTCATCACTTGGCTTGGGTGTACCTGGTGGCACACACCACTGGTTTGCCACTGAGACGTGTACCTGGTGGCACACAAGAACTGGTTCAGTGCCACTGAGACGGATATGTATGATGATATCATCGGTGCCACCATAGGAATAACCTACATACACTAAGCATTGTCATTGATAGCCAATCCTGTCTTCTTGTGTGGTCTCCAACAGCCTACAACATCCCACCTAGTGTGATTGGCCAATGTCACAATTTGTGTTCAAAGAGTTATTCTTCTTCTTATTCCTCTTGTTGATACATGTATAGTGCTAACGTTAAAGATACAGTACAGGAGATCTATGTCTTTGGTCTAGAGCCCACTAATACTTAATAGTACAGTGGTGTACATGACATTGTACATCTACTGCATCTAGAGCAGAATCATAACCAGTAGTCACACTACATGTACAGTATCAGCCTAGCCTGACATGTACTGGAAATGTGAGCTTAGAGTCAGAGCAGTACAGCCAGGACAATGGCTACTGTAACCTGCCTGTCACTGCATCAGAGTCCTGACAGTCACACCAACCTGGCTCACCCACAGCCTGGTCTTGGGAACCTTGCTCAAGTACTATTATGTATTTTTTCTATTTTGTACTAATCTTATTATTATTCTGCTTATCCCCTACTAATAAGTGCATACCATTTTTTTTTACTAAGTACACAACCTACTCGTCAGAAGGGGAGAAGACAACAGAGTATACAATAACAAAACAGCAGGGAGAGTAGGGGCTGCAAAGCAAGCCTGTGCTGGTGAGGCAAGCCCACAACACCGACCTATGGTCTCACGTTAACCCAATGTTTCTATCAACTGCTCAGCGTGTATTTTGTTAAGTGTGTGTGTGTGTGTGTATGTGTGTGTGCGTGTGCGTGTGTGCCGGTGTGTGTGTGTGTATGGTTGTCCCATATAGTGCAGTGGCATATGCAGCGATTTCCAATCGATAGGTTGGGGGTTCGATTTCCCGACGATTATGGTCACACACACACACACACACACACACACACACACACACACACACACACACACACACACACACACACACACACACACACACACGTCTTTCTTCTCTTTCTCCGACTCCTCCTGACTTTTCTTTCATTCCCCTGGGTGGTTACCAACAGCCAGTGCATACCGGAGTATATGGTGTGATGTGTGTGGGGGAAAAAAAGAAAAAGACTAAAAATTAGGGATTCACTGGCCAGAAAAAGCCATTTCATAGCTGTGTGGTGTAGACCAGGCTGAATAGTGGTGGTCAATTCTTCAGCCGTGCAAGCTGTTGAATGGTGCAATCCCAGCACAGGTTGGTATGCTATGGCTTCTGCTGTAGCATCGCTCTCATCGCCTCCGGTGATGGGTGTCACATCATGGTCGGGTCAAATGGTGTTTGTGCATGTGTGCCTGTGTGTGTGTGTACATGTGTGTGTGTGTGTGTTATTATTATTATTATTATTATTATTACATATTGAATAGGGCAATCAACACAGGCCTAGGCCTAGGGCCTTCTTACAGGGTACCCTACTGTAAACCAGCCATTATTCTAAATCTGGCGCATATAGAACGATTTACCAAAATTGACTAGTTTACGTGCACCAAAGGTAACGATTCTCACTCATTCTCAACGCTCAATAGGAATGTATATGTATCGATTTCTGTATAACGATTTCTATTTTAACGACAGATTTATCCTCGTTAACTCGTTAGAGTTAGCACTTCGTTATATGTATATATGGCTTTTACAGTATGTGAATACGAAGAGCGTGACAAAACTGCACATAAGAGGATTGTGCACGCGTACACATTCTTGTCTGTGACTTCAGATGCTTTATTGTCACCGGTTCGTACGAGTGCAAGCTAAGCAATGGGACAGTGTTGACCAGTGGAGATTACACTTCTCTCCTCTTTGGCGCATTCTCGGCGGCCCGTGATACGGTTGCCGATCGTTTCTATGACGATATGACCTGCGTATTTGACTTTGAAACGTCTATTGTAAGTGCAGTAGGTCTCTCATTATGATATTTGCAGTGTCAGGGGCGTCGGAAGATAATTAAATATTTCATGGAGCATCATTTCCATTATAACTGCCCAACTGGAGCAAACACATGAGTCACCGGTAGCAGCACGGTTTAAAAAAAGGTTTGTTTGTTTGTATTTATTTAAAACTTAGCCCAATAAGATAAAGGCGTATATGGAGGGAAAGAAGAGGTGACATTTGCGAAGACGAGTATTTATGGCTTTGGACCGGTCACGAAATGAGGGAACCGTTGACCAAAATTTGGAGCTCTGGAACACTTCTTAGCTGCTAACGTTAAAAGGATGGCTACCTGCCTACTTGGCTGAGCAAGGCGTGACATCCATGAAGTATTTCTTGCTGTCGAATGATCAAGGGATCCTAGAATTACTGGTAGGTGACATGCAATGCTTTGCCGTGTCAGTGTCTTACAACTCCTGGAGATGCAATTGCAATTTCAGCGTACATGTATACTTGCGGCGATGTTATTTATTGCAAAAAGCCTGTTACGGGTGAATCAGATTCAGGTCATTGTAAGCTACTACAGTGTACTACAGTCCATTCATTGGAAACTGGCACCCTAACTTTTTGGTGTCTCTCGCACATCGTTGTAGGTATCGTGAAAACAACAGTACATCCTGCATGGTGTGACCCGTGCAATTACTCCTAGCCATATCTGAGGCCAGAAAAGTCCAAGAACAGGGAAATAGAAATTCAGCCAGGTTTTACAAAGTTGGGACAGGTATGCCATGGCAAAATGTATGGAGAAGCACATCCAAAACCCATATTTTTGAGATTTAAAGTAGGGTTTGATCCTCAATTCGGCCCAAATCGGACTTTCAAAAGCCAGCAGGACAGTTTCCGATGAATGGGCTGTAGTATTGTCCTATCTCAGCACTGTCATGCAACTGCACATGCAGTGCCTGTCCAGTACAAACTAATCATGTTACCATGGTTACACTTTGGACTCAGCTACCTACCTCCACTTTGTGTCATTGCGATTTCAAATGAGTCGTCTACAAAACAGTTACTTGTTGTAGGTGTCACGAGATAACATGATTTTTCAAAAGGAAACAAGCCTCAATACGTGTGTTTGTGTGTGTGTGTGTGTGTACGTGTGTATATTTGGCTTATTATTTGCGTGTGCGTGCGTGTGTGCATGTATGTGTGCGCATGTGTGTCTGTGCATGTGTGTGTTCACTTGCTCGCACTCACGGCAACTGCAGGACCGGTATGTGTACATCGAGCTGTACAACTGTCCTCTCGTAGACAGCAGAACCACCAGCTGTGACAAGGATAGAATTCAATTCCTGGGTCTTGGCCCCGGTCCTGACCCACCTATTCATGTCTTCGAAAAACTGACATGCTTCCATGACCTGGACGGAGCAGTTAGTTATGTGCCGTCTAATATCATTAAAGTAAGTATAGTTTTGCATCTCTACTTGATTACTAGTACCTGTTCCAGTGTGTCCCTGTGTTATCTGTACTTTGTAGTCGTGACAAGGGAGTTATTGACTATTGACCCGGGCGGTGTCGACAAAAGACTCACCAATCCTCTTGCCTTTGTCTGCAAGTAATCTTTTGAAGTCAAATGCAGTCAGGTGGAATCATTGCTTTGGTTTTTTTTACGAGTTTTGTGCATAATCTCAGTACAAAGAAGGAAATTTATGGATAATGTCTGCACCGAGCATCCAATAATTTATTTACAAAATTAATTTAGAAAAAGACAGGGGCGAAAGAAATGTTTAACTCGGATGGTGAGCCTATTAAATCATGTCGTGAAAAAGGAGGACAAATGTTACGAGTTATGACTAACTGTCCACCAATGTAACCAGATCTTATACAGTCAGCGAGTGCGACAAAATGGCACAAACTGACAAAGAAGTACTGAGACATTCGGTGACCTGACACCTAGCTCCAACACTTCTCCAAGGCGCAAACCAACAACCTTCCAACTTGGAAGGCTCAGGTTCGGAAAGGTCCAAGAGGGGAAGGAAAGCGCAACGAAGAAGAGCACGAGCTACGCATCACGGCAACAAAGAATGCTGAAAGTTACTGGATGATGACGAAACTAGTAAGACTAACTACAAGTTTAGTTGGACCTTTCCGAACCTGAGCGTTCCAAGTTGGAAGGTTGTTGGTTTGTGCCTTGGAGAAGTGTTGGAGCTAGGTGTCAGGTCGCCGAATGTCTCAGTACTCCTTTGTCAGTTTTGTGCCATTTTGTCGCACTCGCTGACTGTATGAGATCTGGTTACGTTGGTGGACAGTTAGTCAAAAACTGATGAAAGAAATATTCCGAATATTCGAATGTTCATTGGATAAGCTCAATCGGACGAATATTCGTTACGACGAACGAATACGAATACTGTATCCATGCCAAATTCGCCAAATTCTCGCCATCGTCCTCTTCCTCATCAGCATCGCAAATTCTTCGTTGTCGGCTAGCGAATCGTGATCATAGCCGCTGCTGCCAACATCAGCAGCATCGCCAGTAAATTCATCATCGTCGCCAGGAAGTACAGCAGCTAGTGTCTCATCCACCGTGAACCAACGACGACTGGCCATGTCGAAGACAAGGCTTGAAGCGTAACGAAGGAGGATCAAACTCAAACTGACTTTCAAAGTGTGTTGAAAAAGCGCTGATTCAGTGCATACAGTACACCCATTCGTGAAAATCAATGTTGCTCGACGATGCGTGGGCCAATTTTTGATCTGTGAAAAGGATATGCATGACAGCTGAGTGTGATGGCTGTCGCGGAAACCAAACGAAATCCTACGGAATCGCCAGCTTCCTAGCGTAAGCCCGCTTGAAATCTGTGTAAGTGGTTCGAAATCGCGGAAATTTGAAGTGCAACTTCAAACGTGTTTTTCTCAGTTCAGTGTGCAGGGAGCTAAGCAGCCTTTTCGCGTGCGCAGGCTCATACTTGCAAGTATAACAGTACTTCTTTCTGCGTGACTATATCTGCGGATTTCCAGTTATACGGTTACGTACTGTAAGACCCCTGGAAATCCTGTGACGATTATGCTCTTTCCTTCAACATGAAACCATCTTCAAATACATGAACCATGAACACATAGTGATGCTAGATGTCAGTCGTAAACGAAAGAATATTCGTTCGTTCATTCGTTAACAGAAAGAATATTCGATTAGTCAATATTTGTATTCGTTTCACAATAATCCTGTTGTTATTCTACTGGTGCCATGAAACTGTATGCAGTGACCATATTTGGAAAACTGTGGCACTATGAGTGTGAGCACATGAGCTTTCACCGAAAAAAAGTGTCACTATTCGCGAGTTGTCGCTATATCCTAGGTCATTATTGGCAAAGTCAACTGGACAGACCTCTTTCTCTTGCGGCTTCAAAAAACATATGAAGTACATGTATACTCAGAAAGTGGTGGACATTACGCAACTGCATTGGATACAGTACATGTGTAGGAGAAAAAAATGCGTTTGCTTACCCTTGTGCTTGAATGTATTAGGTGACTTTCACCAGCGACAGCGTAGCTGATTTGGAGAGCCAAGGCTGCTATGGATGGTTTTATGCCTATCCCAACCCTAACATGCAACCCGACTTTCCAGGTTAGTTACTACTATCTATTCGGGCCGCGATGCATTCTTATTTAAGCAGCATTCACGTAGGCCACCATTTGCAGCAAATTCTTGCACAATGCGCAGTGCATATTTCTTCCCAATAAAGCACAGGGACACCGTACACAGAGCCATGCAGCAACTACTGTCTGTAGCTAGGTCCAGGACGGGCTTGCAGAATTCAGTTCAAGGATGATTTCCGTACAATCATACACATAGCTAAACCGGATGTGCATCGAAAACCCTGTCAGACATGGAAGGTCACTCACAGAGTGTTTGCATAGTGTGTATTAGGGGTACAATAGTGTGTATTAGGGGTACAATAGTGTGTATTAGGGGTACAATAGTGTGTATTAGGGGTACAATAGTGTGTATTAGGGGTACAATAGTGTGTATTAGGGGTACAATAGTGTGTATTAGGGGTACAATAGTGTGTATTAGGGGTACCATAGTGTGTATTAGGGGTACAATAGTATGTATTAGGGGTACAATAGTGTGTATTAGGGGTACAATAGTGTGTATTAGGGGTACAATAGTGTGTATTAGGGGTACAATAGTGTGTATTAGGGGTACAATAGTGTGTATTAGGGGTACAATAGTGTGTATTAGGGGTACAATAGTGTGTATTAGGGGTACCATAGTGTGTATTAGGGGTACAATAGTATGTATTAGGGGTACAATAGTGTGTATTAGGGGTACAATAGTGTGTATTAGGGGTACAATAGTGTGTATTAGGGGTACAATAGTGTGTATTAGGGGTAAAATAGTGTGTATTAGGGGTACAATAGTGTGTATTAGGGGTCCAATAGTGTGTATTAGGGGTAAAATAGTGTGTATTAGGGGTACAATAGTGTGTATTAGGGGTCCAATAGTGTGTATTAGGGGTACAATAGTGTGTGTTAGGGGTACAATAGTGTGTATTAGGGATAAAATAGTAGTGTTGAAACGAGCGTATCTATAACAAACGAACGATCCGTTCCACTAACGAGCAAGCTATCGAGCGAGCTAACGAGTTTCATTGATGTGGCAAAATTTAATATGATTTTTTTGAATATCTTTTTTTCCAAGTAATTACAGTGTAGTTCGATTTTTTCAGCTGGTTCAAATAATCACCGCCGGCATTTGGGGTTGCTGCTGCTTCACTTCGGACTGCTGTTTGGTGTCGAGATGTCTTTTCAGCGCCGTCGTTGAGTAGCCTTTGTAAAAATAGACCGTTTTGCAAAGATTGCAAGTAGCCCTGGTCTTCGCTGCATCGCGGGAGAAAACTTCCAAACGACTGAGCGTAACTTTCACTCGAATGGAGAGGTGACCGAAGCATATCCTGCGACAGGTCAGCAGATGCGGAACAAGACATCAGTAGAGTCCACCAAAGCTGCAACGACAACTGAAACAGCTCAAGTGTCGTGCAGGAATACAGTCACTGTAACTGCGAGTGATTTTCACTTTGCGCGGGACTGGACTCTCGATCGACCAGGGAGTCGTAAAATATTTTACGACTCCCGGTCGACATGGTACGCTTTCCAATGGCCGAAGAGAGTTGGAAAGCTTGTGTCTTTGTGGATAACTCGAAACAATTTGCGCTAAGACGCTGCAAAATCGCTCCGATTTTGGATTTCATTCCACAGAATGTGGTACCGACCAGGGAGTAGTACAATATTGTACTACTATACTCCCTGGTACCGACATTGCCGACCCACCGTGCTCTCAGCAGAGACTTCTGTGTGTTGGTGTTGTGAGAGTGTACCACAAAGACGCACTGCCATGTGCATGTGTACGGAGAACGGTGTACGGTGTTCGTTAGTGCAAACGAGCTGGCCGCTCAAACGAGCCGAGTTTCTGGCGAGCTAGCTAACGAGTACCCGGTGAGATCGTTTCAACACTATAGAATAGTGTGTATTAGGGGTACAATAGTGTGTATTAGGGGTACAATAGTGTGTATTAGGAATACAATAGGAATACAATATGGGCATGCAGGGACGGCACCAGATCAGTTTGCACCACATTGAATGTGAATAATTGTATTTGGAGCCATCAAGAAATCAAGACCTAACTTTCGTTAAAAAGCAATAAAAGCACGTGTAGGTTTTCAAATATTTCGGAAGTCAATATTAAATCAATATTGAATTGCGTGGTTTGGGAGAAATGTCTTTACCAGATCACCAGCATTGCTTGTTTCCGTTCTTTACGTTGGATTGAGTGCATGCAAAAACCGGGTATATATGTGACGTTGTTCTTACTTGCGTCCTTTGAATTCAGGTCTCGGCTTTGGCAACGGCGATGACTACCGTAAGGTAAGGTCACACTTAGTTTGTTCTACACAGAAGAACGAGCAGTTGTGGTTTCGTTACTCCGACTTTCATAGTTTGTTCTACACAGAAGAACGAGCAGTTGTGGTTTCGTTACTCTGACTTTCATAGTTTGCCCTACACAGACAGAAGAAACAAGCAGTTGTGGTTTCGTTTAGGGCTCAAACGGTTAGTCTGATTAACCGGTTGCAGACCGGTTACGAAGAATTAACGGTTAACCGATAAAGATAACGGTTACGCAGTAACCTTTCACTCAATTTTTCAAGTACCAGGTCGTTGCACTTTCGCAGGCTGTCGCACGCGTACGCAATTTCTGGGCTGTCAACTCGGTCATATCTGGTCTCTTGGTGTGAGAGTATGTATGAATGAGCATGCAAGAGAATGTATATGTGTGCGTTGTACTGAATAGGGTACATTTTTTTGAATGGGTATAGTCAAATATACGGTTAAAAAGAGTCCGTAGGATTGCCTCGGCTTATAGGTTATAACCGTTAAACCGACTGTTAGCTTAGCAGTTAA